GGCGTCGTCGTCGTCGTCGTCGTCGTCGTCGTCGCTAGCCGTATATTGTCGTTGGTTGCATCGTCGTCGTCGTTGTCGTCGTCGCCGTCGTCGTTTTCAAGGAGGAGGAGGAGCAAAAGGAGGAGAAGGAGAAGGAGGGAGAGGGGGAGGAGGAGGAGGGAGGGTAAGCCAGGAGGAGCCAGGAGGAGGAGCCAGGAGGAGGAGCCAGGAGGAGCCAGGAGAAGGAGGAGGAGGAGGAGGGGGAGGAGGAGGAGGAGGAGGAGGAGGGAGGAGGAGGAGGGAGGAGGAGGAGTGGAGGGAGGAGGGAGGAGGAGGAGGAGGAGGAGGGAGGAGGGAGGAGCGGTCCGCTCGCCGAGGTGGATCTCGTCCATCTCCGTGCACCCAGGCGGCGACAACGTGGTGGTGGGCTCGTACGACAGGCGCCTCCTCCCCCCCCACTCCGCCGCGCGCCTCCCTTCAGGAGGAAAACAAAAAAGCACACAGACACAACTAATCGTCGATCCCCAAGAAAAATGGGAAAAGATGGTAAGTGGGGGGGGTAGAAAAGCCCAGAAGCCCCTGATCTCATTCGGCGGCGAGCGAGGGGGGGAGAAATGAGCAGGAGGAGGTCTTCGCAGAAGGCGGCGGGGCTTCTCAGAAGGACTCCGGCCTTTGAGAGGTTGTCTGTGTCTTCGGGGAAGGCTCAGCAAACTTCTCAGAAAGCCTTAGGGGCAACGATAAATGGGGGCCTGGCATAAGGGGGCAAACATCGACCTGGAATCGGCGAGCCGTCCTTCTGAGAGGTTGTCGGTGTCTTCGGGGAAGGCTCAGGCAACTTCTCAGAAGGCTGGGGACTTCCGAGCCTTCTGAGAAGAGCAGCCCTGAGTGGGCCCCGGAAACGACAGGGCCGTTTTTTCACCCTTTCCGAAAACGTGTCTCTTGAAAATGGAAACGGCAAAAATAATCGGCGTCCGGAAACGGGACAAAAACGGCTTCAGGATTGGAATCGGAGCCGGAACCAGAAAAACAAGGCGTCGGAACCGGCAAAAAAACGGCGTCGGAACCGGCGACAAACGGCAAAATGGAACCGGTAACAAAATCGGCCCTGTCGTTTCCAGGGCCCACTAAGGGCCCGCCCCTTCTCGATTCCCCCCCTCGCTGGTCCCTGATTCATTGCTGGTTGGCACCGCCAGCGGGGCGCAGGATATGTCGGCCCAGCGGGCAGGTCGACGCGTCGCGGCGCAGCCCGCCAACACTCAACGAGGGGCGCGGGGGCCTCACGTGCCCGGGGGGCGCTGGCTACAAAGGGCAGCCGAAGGGTGCAGGAACTTTCGGCCACGCGCAGGGGGGGGGAGGAAGGGGGGGGGGGAAGGCTTCTTGGAAGCACCCCTGATCCTTGGAAGCCGCGGGCCTCGCCCTTCCCGTCTGCAAGTCCTTTGAGGGATTGTAATGGCTGAGGATGCGCGAACGGGCCCTGTGCTAAATTGATCGAAGTCCAGAGCTAGAATTTTCAAAGTCCAGAACAGTTCGTGGCCAATGCTTTTTACAACGATCAAGTTCGAAGTTCGGGAAAAGTTTAGATAAAGTTCGGCGGCGAAGAGATTCCGAACATCTGCAGCGCGTTTGAACCGTTCCTGAATTCCGGAATTGGTTCCGAACCGTTCCAAACTTTTGATGTTTTGAATTTGATTATAACTTGGTTTTCATTGTTTTCCATACTCCTGAACTTGGTTCGTTTTTTCGTTTAACAACTTTTTCAAACTGTGTCTGGACATTTAAGACTTTTCGAAATCTTACTTTCCTTGGCTGGAACTTCTAATCTTCCGTCCGCCCCAATCCAAGCAGGAATGGGGTTCTTGTTCCCCATATCAAAGGGATGGGGTTATTGATGCTACTCCGACCGCGCCGACTCCAGAAGCTCCCTACTCCTCCTCCTACTCCTCCTCCTTCTCCTCCTCCCTCTCCTCCTCCTCCTCCTCCTCCTCCTCCTCCTCCTCGTCCTTCTCATGATCGCACTCGGGGTCGCTACTCAGGTTATGGTGATGATGCTGCTGATGATGATGCTGAAGTGCTGATGATGATGCTGATGATGATGCTGATGCTGCTGCTGCTTATGATGATGATGCTGATGATGATACTTGTCGTGTGATTATGATGATGATGATGATGATGATGATGATGATGATGATGATGATGATGATGATGATGATGATGATGATGATGATAAGTGATGATGATGATGCTGATGATGATGATGATGATGATGATGATGGCGGATCTGACTTTGATGATGTCTCGAGCGAGGCGCTGGTGATGACGATGGTGCTGATGCTGATGGCGATGATGATGCTGACGATGGTGACGATGACGATCATGGTGATGGTGATGGTGATGATGAGTATGCTGCTGATGATGCTGATGAGCATCATGATGAGGATGATACTGAGGATGATTATGATGATGATGCTGCTGTTGATGATGCTAATACCGATTCTTCTGATGATTATGCTGATTATGATGATTATGATGATGCTGATGCTTATGCTGATGCTGCCGATGCTGATGCTGATGATGATTATGCTGATGATGATGATGATGATGATGATGATGATGATGCTGGTGATGATGCTGATGATGCATATGATGATTCTGATTATGCTGATGGTGATGATGATGATGATGATGATGATGATGATGCTAATAATCACGATGACGATGACGATGATGATGACGCTGGTGATGATGCTGGTGATGCTGATGATGATGATGCTGATGATGCTGTTGATAATGCTGCTGATCCTGTTGATGATGCTGCTGCTGATGATGATGATGATGATGCTGATGCTGATGATGATGCTGATGATGATGCTGCGTCTGCTCCTGCTGCTGTTTATGATGATGATGCCGATGATGATGATGATGATGCTGATGTCGATGACGATGCTGCTGCCGATGATGATGATGATGATGATGCTGATGATGATGATGATGATGATGATGATGATGACAATGATGATGACGATGCTGATGATGCTGAATGTGATAATGCTGGTGGTGGTGGTGATCATGATGATGATGGTGGCGGTGGTTGTGGTGATGATGCTGATGATGATGGTGGTTGAAGTGATGATGATGGTGATGATGATGCTGCTGATGATGGTGATGATGATGACGGTGATGATGATGATGATGATGATGATGATGATGATGATGGTGATGATGACGATGACGATGACGACGATGATGATGGTGATAATGATGATGATGATGATGATGATGATGATGCTGGTGATGGTGATGGTGATGGTGATGATGGTGATGATGCTGGTGATGGTGATGGTGATGGTGATGATGATGCTGCTGCTGACTATGATGATGCTGATGCTGATGCTGATGATGATGATGCTGATGAGCATGCTGATTCTGCTGATGATGATGCTGAACATGATGATGAGGAGGATGCTGCTGATGATGATGATGATGATTGTGATGATGATGATGGTCATGATTAAGGATGCTGCTGCTGCTGCTGCTTATGATGATGATGATGATGATGATGATGATGATGGTGGTGGTGGTGGTGGTGGTGATGATGATGTTGTTGTTGATGATGATGATGATGATCATGATGATGATGATGATGATGATGATGATGATGATGATGATGATGATGATGATGATGATGATGATGATGATGATGATGATGATGATGATGATGATGATGATGGTAGCGGAGCAGAAACTGAGGATGTCTCGGGCGAGGAGCTGCTTCAGCACACCCAAAGGGGATCCGCCAGGGGGTATCTGACTCGTCCGTTCGCGCCCAGGTTTCAGGGATGTCTCGAGCGGTTTGCCTGTTTCGCATCCTCAACATCCTCCGCTTTCGGAGCAGATTTGGAGGACGTCTCGGGCGAGGCGCTGGTTTTCGCACCCAGTGGGGGCCAGATTGTGAGGATGCCGCGGTTTGCTTGTTTTGGTGACCAGATGCGTTCGCGTTCAGAGCAGATTCTGAGAATGCCTCGGGCGAGGCGCTGGTTTCAGCACACCCAGAGGGGAGCCGCCAGAGGGGATCTCATTCCTCCGTTCGCGCCCAGATTGCGTGGATGTCTTGAGCGGTTTGCATGTTGGTTGCCGCAGCGTCCTCCGCTTTCGGAGCAGATTTGGAGGATGTCTCGGGCGAGGCGCTGGTTTTCGTACCCGACCAAGTGGGCCCAGACCCAGACTGCGAGGATGTCTTGAGCGGTTTGCCTGTTTTGGTTGCCAGGCTCGTGGGCACGGATCCTCCCCAGGAAGCCACAGGAGGCTCCAGGAGGCCCCAGGAGGCCCCAGGAGGCACCAGGAGGTTCCAGGAGGCCCCGGGAGGCCTTTAGAGACCACAGCAGGCCCTAAGAGGCCACAGGAGGTCCCAAGAGGCTCCAGGAGGCCCCAGGAAGCCTCAGGAGGCACCAGGAGGCTGAAGGATGCTCCAGAAGGCACAGGAGGCACCAGGAGGCTACAGGAGGTTCCAGGAGGTCCCATGAGTCTCCAGGAGGCCCCAGGAAGCCCCAGGAAGCTTCTGGTTGCCCCAGGAGGCCCAAGCAGGCCACAGGAGGCAACAGGAAGCGCCAGGAGGCCCGGCAGGGTCCCAGGAGGCCTCGAGAGGCCACAGGAGCAGGAGGCCTCAGAAGGCCACAGGAGTGGCTCCAATCCCAAGTGTTTTACATATGTTCCTATACGTTGGGCCTCTCCTGGGGCACGGATCCCTTGTGTTTAAGTATGTTTCTATCGAGTTTCTTTCCTCTGTGCCTCCAATCCTAAGTATTTTACATATTGGACCTGCCCTGGGGCACGAATCCCACCAGGAGGCCCCAGGAGGCTCCAGGAGGCCACACGAGGTCCCAGGAGGCCACACGAGGCCCCAGGAGGCCTCACGAGGCTCCGGAGGCCTCAGGAGGCCACAGGAGGCCCCAAGAGGTTTCAGGAGGCCCGAAGAGGCTCCAGGAGGCCCCAGGAAGATCCAAGATGCCCCAGGAGGCCCCAGCTCATGCGTATATTTTCATCCGTATTACAATTAGAGTCACTCCCAGTCTATCAAAACTTAAGCCCGTTTATATTCGAAATCTCTTGCGCCTAGGCACTCACTGCGCACTGGTCCATGGGGATCTCCACGCAGTGGATATTTTTGTCCTGGATTGATTGCCTGTGCCTCCCTCAGCTAATTACAAGCATAGGGGGGGCAACGTGGGGATTTACTTACCACCAATCTGTCGGCGATGTGTCCCCCATTCCAGGTCGATGCTCCCCCCCCTTTGCCAGCCCCCCCAGACCCCCGACGTCGAACCCCCAATGTCTCGACCCCTTCCCCGGATCTTTATCCTGAGCCATTTTTTGACGGTCCCGAGGCCCGGTGAGGGTCCCAGAGGCCGAAAATAGCGAAACACCTCCCGTCGTGATTTTCTCG